GCTTTAGCCTCTAATCAATCACCCAGGTGCAGGGGATGGACGAATTACGCCTCGAATAGCACAGATGGGGAGACAGAGGTCGATGGAAATACGGGTACCGGGGAGATAGCAGATGGATTCTACGGGGCAAGAGGGAGACTCTGATAGGACCCAGGGAAGGACTACGTAGCATTATGACAGACTATGATTAACATTCCCAACACAAGAGTGAAGGGGATGAGAACGCCAGCGTGGAGTGTGAAGGGTTTTCATGAATGCCGCTCGAAGGAGCACATTGCACTACATCGAAATAAGCACATTAAAAAGTGTAGCAGTAAAGGCGTGATACGAGGATATAGGAAATGTGAATGGCCCAAGGCAGAAGGGGAGATACCACAACTGTTAAGCACACGTTTGGTCAAAGGATCGGCTACACTTGTCTTTTTGACGAGTTGTTGTGTGGTGCTAAGAATGGTGAGACTCACTGGCGATGCCGACTACGATGCCGGCGAAACGTCTGGGAAAGTTCCACGTCCACAGTCCGACTTTGGAAATGATCATGCAGACAATGGACTCGGGACTAGATGCGTTCCTATAAGACTTCTTACAAATATGACCAAGTTGCGAAAACAAGGTCAAACAACTTCTATACAACGAAAGGAGTCTGCGAACACACAAAAGGCCACACCAACTTGGTCTTCATACCTTCAATCGGACCATTACCTTGGAACATTTCCAAACAGTTTGCAAGCATTGTTAGTGAGAGGCGCCAACGTTAGCTCAGTTAAAACTTATCAAATTGACAAGTGATGGCAATCTCCTTGACCAATTTTCTGTTCAACCGCTGTGGCATGAACTCGAAAAATTAACTTAGATGTTTCTCAGAAACGGATACCCAGAAGAAGCAATACAACGCAACACAGGGATCGTGATGAGCAGATGGAAGGATAGGGATTATGAAAGGAAAGCAAGGTAAACAAAGTAAAACGATGGATATGCCTACTCTTCTACGAATTGGCTCAGGAGCTGCAGCCGTTACTATTGAAGTATTACATTCGTACAATCCTGAACGAAAGGACAACCCTCTTTAGTTTGCCTAAACAATATAAAGAAATAATAAAAATAGAGTGCTCTCGAGGTTACAGAATAAACTGCAAGGACTGTGAACAAAAATATATCGGAGAGACGGGAAGGACAATCAGCACAATGATCAAAGAACATCAGTGACTATGCATAAAAGTGGATACGGAAAGACAAGAGATAGCTGAACACATCGCCCTAACTGGCCACATAATTGACTTAAATGAAACGGAAAGACTGGCGTTATCTGGAGAAAAGACCAGGAAACTGAAGATCAAGGAGGCTGTGGGCATCCTCTTCCAAAGAAACCTGATGAACAGATTAGAAGAGGGAAGAGTCAGCGATAATCATGCGCACTGCCTGGATAGAGTTGGAGATTCAGCGAGGATAGCAAGAAGAAGACGCTTGGACGAAGGGCAACTATTCAAAAATAAGAAAAGATACCACCGATAGGATAATAATGGAAAAATGTAATTCAAGAATAGGCGATCACAGTTAAAGAAGTCAAGCCTAGAATCAGTCTGAAAATTTATCAGTGTCGAATGTGGGACAGTAAATTAAGGTGTATTCACCCAATTTCGTTTAAGGTGATGAAGGACTGGTAGAAGAATGTTCCCACAATGATATAAGTAGAGCTGACGTTTCCATTGGATTTTAAATAGCTTTCCTTTCATAAAAGTTGTTTTCATCCAAGATGGGTTGCAGTTTCGACCTCGCATCGGTCTTATCAACACCCCCAGCGGGAATCGAACCGTGATAGTGCATAATGGGAGCTTGACATGTTAATTACTCGGGTGTTGATAATTCCGATGTGAGGTCGAAATTGTAGTCCACCCTGGATGAGGATAACTTTTGGGAAGGGAAGGCTATGTGCAATTTAATGGAAACGTCAGCTCTACTCATATCATTGTGGGAAAATGCTTCAACCAGTCCTTCATCACCTTAAACGAAATTGGGTGAATACATCTCATATTACTAGTAGTCTCGAAACAATACTTAAATGCGAAAAATAAAGGCCAGAAACAGGCCGATTATACTATATTAGAGATGCAAGGCTAAAGGCATAAACAGGACAGAGATGGGTTCTTAGTGTGTGTAAGTGTGTTTGTGGGGATTTTTCGGGTGTGTTCATTAATAAGAGGGTACTAATAGCAAAATTAGGATATACCAACCGATTTACACATGACCAACTGACTAGTACCCTAGGATTAGATGGAACTGCTAACTTAAGAGACAGGAGGAGATGCTTTATGCCATTCATGAGTGGAAAAGAGAATCGGCAGATTTTCGCACCGGCATTTACTAATTAAGCCGTACACAGGGACCCAAATAATGAGATGCAGGGTTGGTGAGGATTAAAACGAGAATAACTGGGTGATGGGTCTGAAGCCTAGGTAGGGGAAGATGACAAGGCACGGGCATCACCACCTTTAAATCGCGGAATATAACGTAAACGGGGACGGAAATTGATAAGTCATAGACAGCCAGATAGTAATTTTAGTGTGTAGCAGTGGGTAATTTACAAGCGGAGTGGAAGTGGGGCTGAAAATGGAATTTGGAACCGATGGTGAGGATGATTGTGCCTCACTAAATCCACCTGTAGCGATACAGTCTTAGGCGACATTGGAGGAAACGAGAACACACAATTATGTAAATAGGCCGTATAAAGAGGGGTTGATAGAAAAAGATGCAGCACTAGAAGGTAGGAAAAGAATAAATAAAGAGTGATGCCACAGCAGTGAAACAGAAGATTGATCAAGGGGATTGTCTACACTTGTCACTTTGTTAACAGGTAACTCTGTGCTAACGATGGACCCTCTCAACGACAATGCCGGCGAAACGATCGGGAATGTACCGAGTCAATAGTCCGAAGCGAATACTATGACAAATGACATAGGACTAGGTACGTTACACAAGGCATTCTTGATGCTCAATCCAAGTTGCGAAAACGAAGTCAGGTCAACACTATAAATCTTCGGTAGTAGGAGGTAAGGAAAACTTTGCAAAGCTACATTCCTTAATTACCACTAAGACTAGATTTAGACAAATCTTGT